CAACCGTGCAGTTCGGAGGTGATTCGAACTGCGACCAAGCCGACTTGAACCTAAGGGGTCGCGCGCTTAAGGGAAGGAACCTACGAGGTCGGATCCGAGGACACTGGTCGGATGTGATCCGAGCTGTATTCGGATTGTGGCCGAGTAGACTTGTGAGCTTTAGGGTCCGTGCGAGGCCCAAGTGTTGAGCCCGCGACAGACGCCTATACAAAGTGGAGGTGCGGCACACTCATGAGGTTAATCGCTTTGGCGCTGTCACTAGGGTTTGCATGTGTTGCGAATAGCCACCTCCACTCACCGCCGGTTGTGTGATCGGACCTAGCAGTCCGCCGCACAACGTTCCTCCTGCACGCGCGAATACCGTTAGAGGCAGCGCACTTGCGCCACTCCAGCGAACCTGTTCGCGGTATCCAATCGGCTACATGGGAGACCGACAAGGAGGAGGACTCCGGGAACACGAGGCGACTCCGGGAACACGCTGCCTCAATTCTACTTCCACTGCACGGCACTGCGCGTCTAGTGGTAACGAACTGTGATCCATTCCCGTAGCATGTTCCTGGTTGCTCTGCGCGTAGGAAAATTTTAATTTGCAGTCGACGCACCCTACCGCATAACCCAACAATGGTGACCTTCCTCTTCGACCCTACGTCATTCCACTAAACATCGTTTACTCCCCTTCCACCTACGTTCTACCAAATTGCCCTTTCTTAGAATCACTCCCAACTTTATTTCTTGACATCAAGGCAGATCCATTATCTCCAGATCCAAATTTCCTCCAGAGACAGTGAATGTTATGTGGCTTGCAATTCTAATCCTCCTCATATTGCTAGGAAAATAGTTACGAACTTGAACACTACCGTTTCGAATATTGCTCCAAAGGATACTACTGAGAAGAAACTTTTCAATCCAAAGAAGAAGGAGATAATGAGGGCACAAGCAAGGAAAAGGTGGCCCGTATGTGTGAGGATTACTCCCACCAAAGAGTACAAGGTCAAGAATGCACTTAGTTATGATTCAAATATTCTTTTGGACTACGAATGTAATAAATGTGACTCGCCGGGCCTTGTCTTTATGTATAGGAAAGTCTAAGACATTTTAATCAATGTAATTAACTCCTCGATATGTTTGTGTCTGTATTTGTTTCTCTCTCTGAGATTTCTACTATCATAAAATTAAAATCCAGTCTAATCGCCAGAAAGAAACTCCCGATCCACTCAAGTTTTACAATGAATACAGAATGAAGATTCTTAACTCAAACATAAGAAGAATAAATTCTAGTGATAAATGAGTGGTCGTGTCTAATAAAATGGGATTCGTGATCGGTCGCTTCATTCTTCCAACCCCTCTACCTTCATGATTCTCCCACTGAGTACCCTTCTTCCGTTGTTATATAGAAATTTCTTTGCCATAAATCTTTGGATAGGGCAATCTACGACCCATGGTGCACATATCCCCTAATGGACATTACTCCCACAAGAATCCCTACAATACCTAGCAAGTAACATGATTTTTTATGGGGAGGTCCAAGTAATATGATGAGAGAGAGATAGAATTCGTTCAACGGTGTTTTCTTCTCAAGTTCTAATAACCTTTTATCAGATTAGAGACAACAAATAGCAAAAACATAATATGTGGTGTAACTAAATAGCCTTTACTTTTCCTATAAATCTGTTTTATATACATTATGGCCCTGACATTTCTTTTATTTTTACCAATAAGTTTGTGTGTAAAATTCTAATTAGTCAAACTGACAAAATCATTGTATGCTTTACTTGCAAAAATAATTTAATAAATATTGACGATATGATTAAATACTGACTAAAATTGGCAAAGGACAGGGTCCTGCACCAAAATTACCCTGCAACCCTTTCTTCCTCATACTTCTTGTCTGAACATTTCCAGTATTCACAGTGATATAACTATTATAATTCTGACTGTAATTTCTCCATCTTCTTATCTTTTTTCAAACTGGGTCTCGATCTTACCACAGTAAAATCATCCTTGAAATCCTTGCACTTATTCTCCCAGTCCAAAAGCTTAACATGACTATCATCTTTATCATTCTCAAAACAAGTCTTACTTAGCAAATTAGAACTAGCAATTTCTAAATCCCTAATAGAATCAATAGTACCCAAATGTGAAGTAGTACAATCAACACCAAGTTCCAGAGCTTTAACCATAATATTATGAGCAGCAGGAGCATTAAACGAGTTGGTATATGGTCTGTAATTACTTGTGAGGTCTTGATCAGCTACCCTACTTGTTGCTCTACCAGTAATTCTTTCTTGACATCCGGTATCCCATCCAAATAATTTTAGGAAGATTCAGATCCTTAGAAATCCCTCCTGTTTTGTTTGTTTTGTACGATCATGATCTGCAAGTACTTTTCCCCTTAGAATCCGTTTACACTACGTAGTAAATTTTACAGGAAAATTCCCCTCAGTTCCAACCTATCAGAAATTATTCTGTGTCCTTTTGATGTGCACCACCAAACACCCATTCAATAATGCAGAATTCAGGTGGATGCAACACAATAATCATGTGTTTTTGCCATTCAAGTGTTTCCCCAGTTCATACAGTGAATCAACCCAGCAGCAATGGACTGATCGCGGTAGGTGAAGGGGGCCTACGCATTTGAACCCGGCGAAAAGACGAGACTGCATCAATGCAGCAACCAAACGCTGTGAATGTGGCGAAGGAAGAAAGGGAAAGAACCCGTGGTGTGCAGAGCAATCGAGCCGGGCGCGCATCAGGCGTCTGCATCTGAACCACCATCATTTCTCCCTCTTTTTCTGCAAATGACTATCACTTCTCCAATGCTGTGCCTGCTGCCTCCACTGTTACTTTGCCTTTGGCTTTGGCTGCAGGTAATTATCAGATTGGCACTTGCCGTAGGGCCCTCCCGTCTGAGCGTTTTGATGATGGCGTGGCTTCTGCATCTGAACTGAAAAGAAGGGTCGTGTTCAATTCGACCTCAGGTTTTCTCGTGGCCTTGCCTATTCACAAGAATGGAACGGAACCCCCAGATGGCGAGAACAGCAGCCAGGTACTCTACTGTGTTCCAGAAGATGGTTTAGAGTAAGAGATACAATCGTACTAGAGGCTGCTATGAGATGCAGATGGAACCTGAATCGTCACCATCTACCACGACGTTTGCAGTCCTACCGAGCGAGGCTGATGCGTGAACGCGACGGAACGATTTTTGAAGAAAAAGGAGGAGCTCGAAACCGAGGAATGAAAGCCGGAGAAGGAACAGAGGGGGTGGAAGGAAAAGAAGATAAAGAAGGCTCTGCCTCTGGCCGCTGTCTCGTAGAACCGGACAGGCCTCGGCGCTTCCTCGACCACACGATGCAAAAGGTGGCAAAGGGCGCCGCACCACCCCGCGGGCCGCGAGGCCCCACTCCAGTACTGCTCCAGGCCAGGCCAAGGCGAGCCGATCCGATGGATCGAGTGCCGCGCGGCGCGGGGCGAGTGAGGAAGAGTCCGCCGCGCCCACGCGCGCCCATCACGTCGCACCGCGTCGCTCTCCGGCCCCGGGACACGCCACCACCCATCATCATTCCATCTCCTCCCCTCTGATGGCGCTATATTTGCGAGATTTGGGGCGGTGGTGGCGCGACATTCCTCCGGCCCCGTTCCAGTCGCTCGATCCGTCCTAGTACTACTCCGTTAGGTCGTCGTCGTCGGAGACGAACACGAGACTGGCAAGGGGATCAAGCTCGGCCGCGCAAGAACCATACGACGCCATACGTGACGTGACACGAGAACACAACCAAATATGGGGAAGCAAGAATGTACCGGCGTCCACCGGGGCAGCGAACGTACCACTAGTAGTAGTACCGAGAAAAGGAAGCTGCGCACTACCAAAGAAAGTCCGCCATGTACGATGCTGCATCCCGAGAAAAGGAAGATCTTTGGCATGTGCGACGGCGACAGGGACGACGCGCACGCCGCCGGCTGTACCAATCCCCTCCCCGCAGGGCCAGCGCACCCAAGGGGAAAACGACCAGGTGGCCACTCCGGTGGCGTCCCGCTCGCTCGCCGGTCTCTCTCACGGGGGGTTCCACGCCCACATCGCCCCCATACTGCTCCAACCATCCGAGTTCCACAGCCACCATTGTCGACCATGCCGCCTCAACCGTCGCCGGACACGCGCGCTGGTCACCACCACGTCACCGCAAGCGCCAAAAACAATCACAATCTCAATCTCAATCACAAATTTCATTTCATTCACACTTACTGGAAAGAACGGGTAGGTAGATAGATATGGCAAGACGTGCAACACAAGAAAAAAGTGTAAAGAGTAACCGGGAATATTACTTTACTGATAGTAAATATAGATAAACATCATTTACTTGATAATAGCAAAGGATTACACAAATACATTGGGAGTTCGTTCATCGCCATTGGACGAACAGGGATTTAAGCAGCTAAGGTACAAAATATGCTGTGGGGGATCGATCATCATCCTTACGAAGGATTACATTAATAATTAACAAAATGTGAAATCAACTAGAGGGCGGTCGAAATCGGTCTTCGGCTAGTCCAGATGATGCACTGCACTGCACTGCCGAGGACGACGATAAACAAACATCAGCACTGGTAATCACAGGAATCAAGTCCACCTTCCAACCCCATCTTCACCATCCATCCATGCTTCAGCACCTATCCACAGAGAGGACGGACCACCACCACCTTCCAAGTTCCAATCCATCTCTTCCGTCCTTTTTTTGGTAATAATTTTTTTGGGTAACTTCCTACTTCCTCAAGAACCCCAAAACAAATCCACCCATCCATCTTCATCTTGCCTCCCTTCCGCCAACCAACCGGGAATATTCACACGGGAGATAGATAGCAGCTATGTACAGGAATTTGCAGCAACTGGAAATAGCAAAAGAAACTGAGGATATTTTTTGGGGGGGCCATTTTTCTTCTTCTTACCGCCGCCTCCGCCGTGCCATCTTCTTGCTACCTCAACGAAATAAACTTCCGAGAACGGCTCAGTTGATGAGGTCGGAGACCCAGCCGACGTCGGGGCCTCCTGCTCCGGCACCGACCTCGCAGCTGCGCGGTGCGGCGCCGTCTCGGCTCAGCCGCTCGAACACCTTCTCGCGGAGGGCCCTCCCGGACTCCACCCTCTGGACAGGCTCCTCGTCGTCGAGGAAGCGGAGGTTCAGTGGCTCCAGGTTGGGCATGAAGCTGGAGGCGCCAGTCTGTGCGCCCATGGGGGTGGTGGGGAGACTGTAGAGGCCGGCGGCCTTGGGCGAGCCGTAGGCGGCAGGTGAGGTGGGGTAGCCGGACCACCCACCGGACGGCGACGCCTGCGCCTTGGCGAGGCGCAGCTGGCGGAGCGAGGCGAGGACGTCATTGACAGGCGACCCAACGCCGGGCCAAGAGCCGCAAGAGCCGCGGCGGAAGGAGGCGGCCCCGTCGGGGGACAATGGCGGCGACTCGGACGGGGGCGACTTGGGCGGCGAGGAGAGCAGGGTGCTGGTGGGCGAGGAGGACATGATGCTCTTGCTGAGGTAGCTCTCGAACGCCTGGCGACGGAGCGGCGAGCCGTCGTAGGACTCTGCGAGCGGCGACAGGGGCGTGCTCCTGGGGCTGGAGTGCTGGGACGGCATGGCGCGGAGCTGGTCCGGGGTGTGGGCGAAGAAGCAGACGCGGCGGCGGCAGGCGGTGCCGTCCTTGCAGGGCTGCGTGCGGTAGCGCGCCGGGTGGAGCCAGCACTCGAAGACGCCGTGCGCGTACTCGCAGGCGTCCCCGCGCTTGCAGCCGCCCTTGCGGAAGTCCGGGCAGGCGGTGCCGGAGTAGTGGTACTTGCGCGGGTCGCGGCGGCGCGCCTTCTCCCCCGGGTGCGCGAAGGGGCACTCGGTCCAGTCGTGGCTGCGGCCGCGCGCGCACCGGCGCACCTTGAAGTCGTACATGCGGAACTCGTCGCAGGCGTAGGCGTCCACCGCGGCCGCCACGGCCGCCGCCTCGTCCTCGTCCTCGGCGCCCGCGCCCGCGCCGCCGAGCACGTCGTTGCACGGCAGGTACTGGCGCAGCGCCGCGAACAGGAACGGCGTCTCGTCGCCGCCTCCGCCGCCGCCGGCGTCGACGCCGCTCACCGGGAGGTGGTTGCCCCACGGCGGCACGCTCACTCCCTCGCTCATCATCATCATGGCTGTCTGCTCGCCGCTCTGCTTGCTCTGCTCTATGGGAAGAAGAGATCTGCTAGTGGAGGACTGAGGCTGAGGCCTGTGGGTGGGTGTGGGACGGATTGTGGAGAAGAACACCAAGCGGCGCGCGCTTATAAACACCCAGGCCACGGCCGGAGTAACAACGCGGTCGTACAAACTAACTGACGCCGTTTGCGGGCAGCCACTCCGAGCACCTCACTGACACGGCGTCCCACCATAACCCCATGACCCACCGTCAGCGAGAGGGGATGACGGGAGGCGGGGATAAAGGCGCGGTACGGAGCGTTACACGCGGCGGGCGGGGAGGCAGGGTGTCAGGCATGCGGGAGGCGAGGTGTCTCGAGGGGGCGTTGGGTCGGGGACACGTCGTGGCGTGGGGAGGGCAGGGGATCGATCCCTACGATCTTTACTTTTGCCCTACGTGTATAGATTGGGGATTTGGGGGTTTGGGGTCCGGTCCGTCGTCTCGTCCGTCGGGTGGAAGGGAGGGAAGATTTTTTTTTTTTTTAAGTAGGGAGGGAAGATATTCGTTCGTGTAGTTTCTGGAAACCTGGGGTAGGGACTGGTGTGGTGGCGCGGCTTGGACAGATGCGTGCATGCAGATGGGTGGTGTTTTTTTTTTCTTTCCCCAGGCGCGTATGTGTACCGCCCTCGCATGTGCTTGTCACCTGTTTGGCTGCATCCGAGTTTAGAATTATCCTGCCTTTCCACTTAGCGTAAGAGGAACTATACTTATATGTGTATTTCTGTGAGCTGCTAGGATTACAAGTGTGGGGAGGAATTTGTTTGGCTGTCAACGTCCGTAAATTCCCTAGTAACTGTACTTGTCGAAAACGGGCATAATCCATAGAGTGTTCTACTGGGTGTGATTTCCCAGGGTTTTTCATGAGTCGTAAATGTATTAATTAAAAATAGAACTAGATATATCAGAAATATCGCAAGGGAACAGAACTAGATATTTGTGTGAGCTGCGAGGATCAGAAGTAGGGGGAAAGTTTCTATGTTGTCGACGTCTATGTAATCCTTAATAATTGAATTGTACGTTAGAAACTTAACCTTAGTTTTGTCTTCTTGTGTTCGTGTCCTATGGTCTGTATATTTCAACTGTGTTAAACATTCCGCAGATTTGGTTGCCTGTTTGATGATCTGGCCTACCATTGGATTATAGTTGGGCCTAGGCCCATATAAGACAATAATCTCTGATTAATCTTTTTTTACGGGAAGAACTTTCAATCTATTAATCTTCAATCATGGTAGTACAACGAACACTGAAAATAATAAAAAATTACATCCAGATCCATAGACCACCTAGCGACGACTACAAGTACTGAAGCGAGCCGAAGGTGCGCCGCTGTCATCGCCCCTTCCTCGCCGGAGCCGGGCAAACGTTGTTGTAGTAGATAGTCGGGAAGTCGTCGTGCTAAGGCTCCATAGAACCAACGCACCAGAACAGCAATCGCCGCAGATGAAGAGTGTAGATCAAAAGGATCCAGCCTGAGGACACACAAACGAACGCGAACGACGAACATATCCGAGCAAATTCACCAAAGACAGATCCGCCGGAGACACAGCGCCACACGTCCACTGAGGGAGTCCTGGATTAGGGGGTGTCCGGATGGCCGGACTATGACCTTTGGCCGGACTCCCGGACTATAAAGATACAAGATTGAAGATTTCGTCCCGTGTCCGGATAGGACTTTCTTTGGCGTGGAAGGCAAGCTTGGCAATGCGATATGAAGATCTCCTTCCATTGTAACCGACTCTGTGTAACCCTAGCCCTCTCTGATGTCTATATAAACCGGAGAGTTTCAGTCCGTAGGACGAACAACAATCATACCATAGGCTAGCTTCTAGGGTTTAGCCTCTCTGATCTCGTGGTAGATCAACTCTTGTACTACCCATATCATCAATATTAATCAAGCAGGAGTAGGGTTTTACCTCCATCGAGAGGGCCCGAACCTGGGTAAAAACATCGTGTCCCTTGTCTCCTGTTACCATCCGCCTAGACGCACAGTTAGGAACCCCCTACCCAAGATCCGCCGATTTTGACACCGACATTAGTGCTTTCATTGAGAGTTCCTCTGTGTCGTCACCTTTAGGCCCGATGGCTTCTTCGATCATCAACCACTACGCGGTCCAGGGTGAGACTTTTCTTCCCGGATAGATCTTCGTGTTCGGCGGCTTCGCACTGCGGGCCAATTCGCTTGGCCATCTGGAGCAGATCGAAAGCTACGCCCCTGGCCATCAAGTCAGATTTGGAAGTTTAAACTACACGACTGACATCCGCGGGGACTTGATCTTCGACGGATTCGAGCCACGGCCGAGCATGCCGCACTGTCACGATGGGCATGATCTAGCTCTGCCGCCGGACAGCGCCCAGAGCGCCGCTCAGGTGTCCACTCCGACCCTTAGCTCGGAGCCGACCGCGCCAGTCGGGGACGGACGGTTGGACGCCGCCCAGGAGCCGCAATCTCTACGGCGATCGAGCCGAATACCAGCCTAGTCCTTTGTGAGGCCTGTGACTCCAAGGTGCCGGACTCCTTTCTGGACTCCGGATCTTCCGCACCCCTTCCGATCGGACCCAATTGGGCTCCGATCATGGTTCACCGCCGTGGACGTCTTTCAGCACTCGCCCTTTGGCGACATCCTGAATTCACTAAAGTCTCTCTCTTTGTCAGGAGAGCCCTGACCGGACTATGGTCAGCAAGGTTGGGATGTGGACGACGAAGAAATTCGAAACCCACCCACCACCCACTTCGTAGCCACTGTCGACGATTTAACCGACATGCTCGACTTCGACTCCGAAGACATCGACGGTATGGACGCCGATGAAGGAGACGATCAAGAACCAGCGCCTATAGGGCATTGTAAAGCCACCTCGTCATATGACATATACATGGTGGACACCCCAAAAGCAGGGAATGGCGATGAAAAAACGGAGGATGATCCCTCTAAGAAGCAACCTAAGCGCCGACGTCAGCGGCGCCACTCTAAATCCCGCCAAAGCAAAAATGGCGAGTCCGGCACTGGAGATAACAACACCCCGGACAGTGCCGAAGACAACCCCCTCCAGCAGGATTCAGCGCAGGAGGACGGAGAAGCCAGCCCTCATGAGAGAGCGGCAGACAGGGAGGTCAAGGACGACAATTATATGCCTCCCTCCGAAGACGAGGCAAGCCTCGACGACGATGAATTTGTCGTGCCAGAGGATCCCGTCAAACAAGAGCGTTTCAAACGCAGGCTTATGGCCATGGCAGGCAGCCTCAAGAAAAAACAGCAGCAGCTTAGAGCTGACCAAGATTTGCTAGCCGACAGATGGACTAAAGTCCTGGCGGCCGAAGAGTACAAACTCGAACGCCCCTCCAAGAGCTACCCAAAGCGCAGGCTGCTACCCCAACTAGAGGAGGAAGCAACTAAACCTACATCATCAGTGTATGATGTGGCCGATTGGCCACCTCGTGGCCGCGACAGAGAGGCCTTTCAGCCCTCAACTCAAGCCGCACCCCGGCGCCGCTCAAAAAATACCAAAGCACGGGGAAACGCACTAGACCTGCAAGACATATTGGAGGGTAAGGCAAGGCAAACAAGATCAATTTACGGATCGCGTGGGCGCCCCACGTCACGTGGCGATAACCGCCACGCCGGATATGACAAATACGGCCAGGCCGAACACAACAGACAAAGCTCATCCGAGATACGTCGTGATATAGCCCAGTACAGAGGCGCCGCACACCCACTATGCTTCACAGACGAAGTAATGGATCATCAAATCCCCGAGGGTTTTAAACCCGTAAAAATCGAATCATACGATGGCACAACAGATCCCGTGGTATGGATCGAGGATTATCTCCTTCATATCCACATGGCCCGTGGTGATGATCTACACGCCATCAAATACCTCCCGCTCAAGCTTAAAGGACCAGCTCAGCATTGGCTTAATAGCCTGCCAACAGAGTCAATTAGTTGCTGGGAGGACCTGGAATCCGCATTCCTTGACAACTTCTAGGGTACTTATGTGCGACCACCAGACGCCGATGACCTAAGCCACATAATTCAGCAACCAGAGGAATCGGCCAGACAATTCTGGACGCAGTTCCTAACCAAGAAAAATCAAATAGTCGACTGTCCGGACGCAGAGGCTCTTGCAGCCTTCAGGCACAACATCCGAGACGAATGGCTCGCCCGGCACCTAGGACAGGAAAAACCGAAATCTATGGCAGCCCTCACGACACTCATGACCCGCTTTTACGTGGGAGAAGATAGCTGGCTGGCTCGTAGCAATAACATGACCAAGAGCCCTGGTACCTCAGATACCAAGGACAACAATGGTAGGTCGCGTCGTAACAAGCACAAGCGCCGCACTAACGGCGATCATACTGAGGATACGGCAGTCAATGCCGGATTCAGAGGCTCTAAACCCGGTCAGCGAAAGAAGCCATTCAAAAGAAATCCTCCGGGCACATCCAGTTTAGACCGGATACTCGATCGCTTGTGCCAGATACACGGCACCCACGAACAACCAGCCAATCACACCAACAGAGATTGTTGGGTGTTCAAGCAGGCAGGCAAGTTAAGTGCCGAAAACAGAGACAAGGGGCTGCATAGCGATGACGAGGAGGAGCCCCGGCCGCCGAACAACAGAGGACAGAAGGGCTTCCCCCCGCAAGTGCGGACGGTGAACATGATATACGCAACCCATATCCCCAAAAGGGAGCGGAAGCGTGCTCTCAAGGACGTCTATGCGTTGGAGCCAGTCGCCCCAAAGTTTAACCCATGGTCCTCCTGCCCGATCACTTTTGATCGAAGGGACCACCCCACTAGCATTCATCACGGCGGATTCGCCGCATTGGTCATAGACCCAATCATTGACGGATTTCACATCACTAGAGTCCTCATGGACGGCGGCAGCAGCCTAAACCTGCTTTATCAGGATACAGTGCGAAAAATGGGTATAGATCCCTCAAGGATTAAACCCACAAAGA